AGTCTCTGAGGAACAGAGCAACTTTGGGTGATTTCTTTTTTTTTTTTTTTTTTCTTTTTTTTTTTTTTTCCTTTTTGTCTTTTTTTTCGGGACTGGCAACGGATCGCAACCCTCAGGGTCGCACCCGCACCGGACCGGGACCGGCAACGGGACCACAACCCTCGGTGCTGCGCCCGCACCTCGCTCAGCCAGTGAGCGGCCGGTCTGCATGTGGAATCCAAACCCTCGGCGGGAGTGCCACCGCGCTTCCCAAGTGGCACACTGTAACAGTGCGCCACTGGGCCAGCCCCTGGTGATTTCTGATGTAGAGAAAAACAGTGACATTTAAGTTCTTCTCTGACTCATGAAAGGAAAAAGAGGGAGGAGTAAGACCTTTGAGGTCTTCAACGAAAGCCAATTCTAGCTCTCCTCCTGGCCCAAGAGTCCTGAAAGGGCACACACAGTTGATAGAGGTAATAGCACATGCCTCTACAAGTAGGCTTAAATTACTCTACCTCTTAGGTATGTTTTTAGCATAGCCAACACCTATAATTCTTACTTCAAGGACAGAATCAAATTTAAGTGTCCTTGTTTCTTTATTTTTCAAATAATGCATTTTCAGAGAGATTAGCATTAATGGAAAAAAGCGTTAGATGGTTGTGGTCTGGAAATACTATCTAAATATTAACATTTTCATGCAAATAATTCCTTTTAAATCCTCCCACCATAAGATACATCTTTCTTTGAACATAAATCAATATATATGACAACTCCCCCACTTACTCCCACCCACTCATAAGCAGAATCCTAAAACAATGAAATTAATAAGGTATTAATCAAAAGTAATGCAAAGATATAACTAGTCACACCACAGTAACAGATCCAGAAACTGAAAAATCTCATACAGAATTATAGGAGGGAAAAAAAAACACTTCCATCCTACTACTTGAGTTAGATTCCCTTATATTTCACTGATAACATCTTCATTTTACTATGGAAATTTAATGAAGAACATAGGCACTAAATGTTGTAACTTAGACTAACTGTCCTTAAAAAACAAAACACACAAAAAAACACCAAATTTTTTTGATCATTTTCAAAAAATGAGCTGAAAAAGGAAGAAGTGGAGCCTTAATCTAAAAATATAAATTTTACTTAGAACTAGGTATACCTTAAAATTCCTAAGATCACAATATGGAACCAAAGGGAAAGCAGCAAAAAAGATTTCTTTTTTTTTTTCCTTTTTGTCTTTTTACTGACCGGTAACAGGATCGCAACCCTCGGTGTTGCGCCCGCACCGCGCTCAGCCAGTGAGTGGGAACCGGTCTCCACATGGGATCCGAACCCTCAGCGGGAGCACCGCCGCGCTCCCAAGCGGCGCACTCTCCAGTGTGCCACCGGGCTGGCCCAGCAAAAAAGATTTCTAATCCTTACATCTCCCCACCCCCCAAAAAATCTAGGTCTACTACATAACTTTTCTTACATAGCACATAATACTTAACTTTTCAAATATCACAATTATAAATTTGGCATAATGCAATCAATACTAAAATATTAAAGGAGGGTTTCCACTCATGAAAACTTAAGTTATACAGGAACTGCCATTCCAACAACACTGGAAAAAGTACAACATACAAAAACAAGGGCTTTCAGACATTGAACGACAGGCAGTATAGGACTGTGATCCCTGAGAGAAGGGAAACAATGGAGGCAAACCCTCTGAAAGCTCCAGGTTATTGAACAAAAAAGGGAACCCAAACAGCATCTACAGATTTGAATTAAGGAGACACAGGTCAGGGCCAGCCTGTGGCTCACTTGGGCGAGTGTGGTGCTGACAACACCAAGTCAAGGGTTAAGAT